ACAAGGAAAAATATGTTAAGTTTGTTGTGAAGTTTTCTCAAACCTATTATATTATTATTTGAAGGCATTTGTTATTCCCAAACTTTTAGAATTATGAACTTTTTTATCTTGTTTTTTCTTTTTTTTCTTGCCATTTCTATTGATAAATTTAAAATCTAAATGTAGAAATTAAAATTAAATCTTCTAAAATATGCCCCTGCATTCCTCGGTCATTTGGCATATTAATTCCATATTGATCATTCAAGAGGTAAAGTCTCAGAAAATTATGAAGTCCAAGTGTCCATCAATGGCCGTAGGGGGTTCAAGGACAACAATGTGATGTTCAATCACCAAAAACTCCAAGCAGCTCATTGTTGTCCTTTGTTTTTAATCTTTCCTCAACCCCACTTACAAAAATATATATATATTTTGATTGGTATCCGGCCGTATTGACTAACTAATATGAGAGATCAATCCCAACGTAGTGGACAGTGGGACAGTGGGATTAAGGGAAGAAGAAGAAGAAGAAGAAGAAGAAGAAATCATAGAGTCCACTCTTTTGCTTATGTCTCATCTCTTCGCTGATTGACTATAAAGCTAGTGTTTATATGGGTCAATCGTAAATAAGATAGTCTCTTGCTTAAAAATGCTATCTGTATAATTTGCATTTATTGAGAGAAAATTATACTACTAATACGTCTTGAATGTGGAGATTTAAAATGTTGAATTTGGATATTTTAAAAGTTTGGAATCACTAAGAACTCCAATGATGTGTTAAAAATACCAAGTAAAATAGATGCACTACTTGAAATTGACAAGTTGAGAGTTAGCGAGTTAGCAAAACTCTTGCATCAATTCGAAGAGAAGCTCGAAAGCTTTCACGAGGAATTTGCGCTAAGGATGTGGTCGTATTAGGCGGGGAATAATGTCACAACTTGGGAATATTATCAAATATTTGAGTTACGAATTCGATTTTAGATTTATGTAAAATTTTGTAGAAATCCCTATAATTAGGTAGATAATTGTAGAATTTATTCATCATAAGGTGGTGGAAGGATGTAGATAGCTTTCATACTACTAGATCATTGAAATTTATACATATGTAGACTATTAATTAAAATATATAATAGGCAATCATTTGGTTATAAAATGGAAGAATTAGATAGTTTCCACACCATTGGATTGTTGATATTTGTATATATATCTAGACTATTAATTGAAGATTTGAAGGCCAAAGGCATCATTTGGCCAAACTAACAAAGCAATGGTAAACTCTCCGTACTTCCAATTCGAACTTTACTTCTTGTGAACATGCTATTTTCAATTCAAACTCTCTCTACTTCCAACGCAAACTCTATACCATCCTCAAAGTCCATTAGGGTGAGTACCACATGCACACAAACCATGTAAGGCTATGGCCTCCCTGCCTAGTATATATATATATATACATATATGGGTTCATTTTATGAGACATGAACTACCTTATCTAATTTTCAATTTTATGCTCACAAGACATACGGCTATGCATTTACAAAAATTTGATTTTTAGAATTTTCATTTTTTAGGTGTATATATAAAATTTTGATTTTTATAAAATTTTAATTTTTTAGGTGTATTACCCTAGTATATATAAATTTTTGATTTTTTAGGTGTATTAGCTTATGGCCAAACGTGTGGTGTGTATACTTGTATAAATCTGTGTGTAGTGTGCTCAGCATCTCCATTGGAGATGCCCCAAGGATCCTAATAATGAGCCAAGGCCAGTAGTATTGCCCCAACTAGGAATGGTGTAGGAATAGAACACCACAAATCCAATCCCACTCTACTTCATTGCTATTCCTACTTTTGTTCTAAAATTTTGCCCTATATTCCCAATAAATTTCCAAACACAAGATTATGTGTCAAGATTTCAATATTTCAAAACTCCACTACATCTTCTGGCTAAGAGTGTATTGAAAAAGAGAAAAAAATTGGCCAAGTAAAGATTACGAGTTTGGAACAAAATGAATACGAAGAAATTAAAGCAGAATTTCCTGCATAATTCTATAAATTGATGGCAAGAAGCAGTTAAATTGACTAAAAGAAATAGATACAAGCACAAACATACATACATACATATAGTTGGGTTTTGAGAGCATGTAATCATATAATTTGAAGAAATAAAAATTGGAGGAAAAAAAATTAAAAAAAGCAATGAACTTCTTTTGAGTTTGAGCTGCTTTTCTTGATACCTGAGTTTTGCACATAAAGATTCGATATCAGTATACAAAAACTCCTCCATCTCTGTATTTTTGTTTTTATCACAACTAGATAGAAATAGAGAGAGAGAGAGAGAGAGAGAGAGAGAGAGAGGTTTTGTTGGGCTAGGGTTTTTAAGGGAACTGACGAGAGAAAGGGGTTTGCAACCAACGCAGGATTTATACAAAAAATTCTTGCGTTGTTGAATGAAAAGTTTACAACCCTCATTTCCAAATTTAAAATCCGAAATCTGAATCTCTAATTTCGAAATTTAAAATCCCAAATCTAAAATGAAAACCCTCATTTGTGTAATACAAACCTGAATGTGGGTGTTTGATGAAGGTGTTCCTCGTTACTGTTGGCCGTTGTTCGTTGCTTCCTCTTCGTCGTCGGTCTTCCCTTCGGAGTTCGGCTGAGTGAGGGAGAAGAAGATGGGTTGGATCAAATACGGATTTCGTAAGTTCAAAGGGAGAAGGGGAGCTGTTTTTGTTTATAATGAAAAGGCTTTTCTAAAACCGTTTTTATTAAAAATATTTTTGGTCAAAAAACGACTTTTGTAAAACCGTTTTTAATTAAAAAAAAAATTGTCAAAAAATGACTTTTCTAAAATCATTTTTTATTAAAAATATTTTTGGTCAAAAAATATTTATGTTGAAAATTAAATTTAAAAAAAAATTAATGTAAAAACGGTTTTACCACAACCGTTTTTAATTAATTCAGAATTAATTAAAAATTAATTAAAACCGGCTTTTCTAAAGCCGTTTTCTGTGTTCAAAATTTATTATTATTTTAATCGCAAAACACGGTTTTTGAAAAGTCGTTTTCTAAAAAGCGGCATTAGAAAAACCGTTTTACCCTATAATGAGAATAAAGTTAAAAACACACCCTAAAGTGGGACTAAAATGTTCAAAATGCCACAATCAGGGAAATTGGCCACAGAGAGAGACAGCCGAATTGGGATGTATGAGAGAGAGAGAGAGGAAGACTCTGGAAGTTGATCTCACCGTTGGATTATATAAAGATCCAACAGTGAGAGTAGAGAGACAGCCGAATTACAATGTCATTTATTTTTAAGGAAAATGTTATGGACCCAAATAATATACTAAATTTTCTATCAAACCTCTCACATGAATGTGTGATCCATACAATAACATAGGTTTGGTAGAAAATTTGGTAGATTATTTGGAATTCCTAACATCACTCTATTTTTAATGTAATTTTTAATCTTTATTTGCACTGTCATTTTTATGTTTCAATGTAATTTTGAGTATTTAAATTTATTTTTTCAAATTTTTAATTTCCTTTTCATTTTGTATATTTGTCTGGTCAAGTATAATATAAATATATAATTTTTTTTACAAATAGATAAAAAAAGGTCACAAAAGACAAAATAAACAAAAAAATACTAAAAAAATCAATATCCAAACAACACCTACAAATTTGGAGGAAAAGTTGGTTGAGATTTGCTAAAATAACATGTGTACCATTGGAGTACCATTGCTATAATTTGGCAAATTACTACTATTCATTGCCAATTTATACCAATAGCAATGGTATTATAGTAATAGTAATAGTATTATAGCAATAACCATTGAAGATACTCTTATATGGTAGAGATCATAAAAAATTTATCAAATATTTTATATAGGTGTGATTTTATGTAAATTTCACACTCATATGATACATTTGATAAAAAATTTTAATAAATATTTAGGAGGTTTCTAACATATTTTAATTTGTACATGTCAAATCTAATTGATTCGCATAGTTTTCGTTTAAGATGTGGGTTGACTTTTTATTTTTTTTTAGTCTGGGATTAAAAAGTCTCGTTTAGAATAGACTTTTTAACTTTTTTGACTTTTGTGAAAGAAAAAATGAAATAATTATGGTTTGAATGTGATGTTTTATCTTATTGGCTTTTTAACTTATTTTATTTTTGTGACTATTTTAGCCCAGACTTTTTATGCCAAACGAAGCCATACTTAGATTTGAACAATTAGGTTCAAAATGTGTAAAAAATATTGTGGAAATTGACAGAGATACTCAAAGGAACATTTGCATGATGTTACTCCTCGCCAAAGAGAATAACTTTGTATTGAATAGTTGGACCGATAACATTTAAGTGCATCAAGTATTATACCCGGATGATTTTTAGTATTTTGGTCAATAAAATGGAGTTAGATTTGTGGAAAAAAAAAACCTTTATCACTGTGCTCTCATTGTGGCTTGGATTAGACTATGGTTTATGCTCGTACTATGGTCTACACACACTTTGTTACCCAAATTTTTAACTTCACACTTGCACCTTACACTGGGGTGGGGAGGGTGCTGTGTTGTGAGCCCGTGAAAACATTTCTCGAATATATTTTAATTATCTAAATCGTTCATATTATAAGATTAAACACGCCACTTATTTTTGCTCTCAAACATCCATGTATTCAACCATTCCTATGAGCTAAATCAATTATTAAAAGCACCCCATTATATTGACATAACAATGACAAGTGAAAGGTCAAGATACAATGAATATAAAATAACTTGGTACAAAAAGAAGTAATAAAAGTGCACAATTCTCCAATAACCTCCTTGGAACCTCAAATAAATTCCATTAAAATTTGAAACAACTAGTTAGAATTCGACCCAACCAAATTTGAACCATCCCAACAACGGCAACCATACTGAACAATTGCAAGGAAAGAATATAAATGTTGCAATGCATGAAATGAAATGGGAAAAAAAAAAAAAATAGTATCCATACAAGTTACAACAAGAAAACATTTACTAAAAGCAATTAAATATTATGAGGACTACAATTGAAATCTCACTACAATAATGTCATCAAATCAAATTTCAATTCAGAAACCATGATTGATTCAAGTTTTCTTGTTTGGTTTGAAGACAAACTTGATGATTGAATCTTTGATTGGCAACAACTCAGGAAACTCTTTCTTCAGCTTTGAACTGTCCATCTCATTGTTACTCCTTGGTGCTACAATCACTTTTGCTTGTTCTTCCAAATCAAAGTTCACCCATTTGAATTTAGGATCAATGTAGTCTCTGTACATCTCAAGGATCTCATTGTGGCTAATCGCTCCTGGGTTGGTGAAGTTCCAAATACCCGTGCAATTTCGCTTCGCCATTTCTATGGAGATGGGCAAGAGCTCATCTAGGACTGTCATGCTGTTTGGAATGTTCACAACTTTGCTGTAACGAGCGATCTTTGTGATAAAGTTTCTTGGGTTGCTAAGGTCAGATGAGATTGGCATTCGAACTCTTAGGGTGCATACATTCTCAAATTCTTTCAGTAGTTCCTCCACCTGCACATATGTATCATCCATGATTTTGTATTGATGAGTTTTGTTGAATTTGAACAAAATACAAATAATGTTACATATTCAGAAAAATTATCGAGAAAACAATATTAATAGATCACATTCATTTTAGGTGTACTCACATATTTTAGTAACTTCTTAATTTTTTACGAAAATATGTGACAACTTATAATGACTTTTTGGCTAAAATATGTAGTCTCCAAACGAGACCTATTTTACATCTACAAGGTACATCTCACTTTAGTAGAATTTTTAACATTTTTCAACAATATTTGAGGATTTGGCTCATTTAACACTAACCAAACATGTAAGTTGTAACTAACAGTAAGGGCATAGAAGAAAAAATTTATGAAAGGTAAGGAAAAGTGACAAAAACTTTAGGGGAAAAAATGCCAAAAAGCCCCGCTTTGAACAATGAGACCAAACATGAAATTGTTACAAACAATGAGACCTAAACTAGCACAGATGTGAGGTGAAAAAACAATATATGAAATTCTTACCATGGCTTTGGTCTTGGAGTAGAAGGATCCTATGAAATTTGGCTTGTCTTCCTCCTTAAATCCAACACCGGACCCCTGCAGATGCCCTGCATCATACTCGAATATGCACCCGGTTGCGAAATTCAACATGATGAGGCCTTGTTCTCTGCAAACATCAGCCAAAGTCAGTGTACCCACCACATTGGCTCTAATTGTTTCAACTTTGTGTGTTTCACACCAATCCACATTAGGCCTCCCAGTCACCCCTGCTGCATTGAACACATGACTAGGCCTTACTCTCCTAATATCATCAATGAGTGAACTCCTATCTTCCAATCTCCCCCTCCCATACTGAAATTCAATCCCACCTTCCTTGCAAAGTTTCCCCAACAATCCTCCGATCCAACCGGTCCTCCCATATATTAAAAACTTCAATCCAGAGTCCCGATTGGTGTCGCTCCTCATGGTGTACTTCAAGAAACAAGTGTTGTCGTTGGGGAGACCGATCATTGAAACACGAGGGTGAGGGTGAAGTGCTGCAGTCACATCTCCCCACCAATCAGGATTCCTAATATACCATTCCATTGTCATTTTTAGCCCTTGCTCCCATGTAGTCCTCTCCACCCACCCGAGTCTCTTCAGCTTCTGATCATCCAAGAAGTATCGCTGGTCGTTGAAAGGCCTGTCTTGGACTAACTTTATGACTTCCTCCGAATTCAATCCAAAAAGCTTACACACGTCTCTCGCGACATCTGACACGCTCCTTTCCTTCTTGGTGCCGATATTGTACACGTGTCCAATAAGCCCTTTGTGGAGCACCACATCGAATGCCTCGGCTACATCCTCAGCATACAAATAACTTCTCACATTCGACCCATCGCCGTGAATAGGCAGATTTTCCCCTTTCATTGCCAAAAGAATGAATTTGGGTATTAGCTTTTCTGGAAATTGATTTGGTCCATATACATTGTTGCCACGTGTCGTGATCGTTGGCAGGCCATAGGACCGATGGTATGCCATGACCAACATTTCAGCCCCGGCTTTAGTAGCCGAATAAGGGTTAGTGGGGAGGAGTTGAGACGCCTCAGGATTGCCAATGTCGGTCTCCAAGTCAGTTTCGCCATAAACTTCGTCAGTGCTGACGTGGATGAAGCGACAAATTTGATTGGTGATCTTGCAAGCTTCTAGAAGCACATGAGTGCCGTAAATATTGTTGTTAGTGAATTCGAAAGAGTTTCCAAAGGAATTGTCGACATGGGTCTGTGCAGCGAAGTGCATAATGGTGTCGATGTTCTCTGCGACCAGGAGGTAGTTGACTAGGTCAGCACTTCCGACATCGCCTTTTACAAATTTGAAATTTGGGGAGGAGTAAGAGGGGTTGAGGTTCTTGAGGCTGGAACAATAGTCAAGCTTGTCTAGTGCTACAATCTTGTAATGAGGGTAGTTTTTTATCAGACGGTTCGTAACATGGGATGCAATGAAGCCAGCTGCACCTGTTATTAGGATGTTTTTAGGTTCATATGGCTTTTCACTTGTCATCTTTCCTCCTCCTTTGTGTGCTGCTGCATGCACTTGATCACTGTCACAACATCATGAGAAAAAAGAGTTTGATGATTTAAACAAGGATAATGTGACAAAAATTGAGAATGTATATAAAAATATATTTTATACGTACATAATTTGATCACAGAATTAAACACAATCCTTTCACATATTGTGATCGGATTCTATGTAGCATGTATAAAGACTTTTTCATATGAAAAACGTGGATTTTGATTAAATCTATTATCTGATTGTAATGTAAGTTTGCATAATGTTACGATATTTCCTCGAAATTTAATATTAATGATTTAAAAAATCTTCATTAACTGTTTTTAAATTTGAATAGAGATATGTTGACATAACTCTTTCACAATCATTAATACTGTAATAAAAGTCTCCCTTATAACCATATAATGAAGAAGACCACGATCCCAAAATATAAATATTACTATTGCGTGATTTGAGACAGTTAAATTAGCCAACTATTTATATAATTTGAATCCATGACGCTCAAATGGCGATCATACCCACATAACACCAGATCACTGCAAAAATGTGGAATGAAATAAAATGAAGGATAACAATCATACCCACATAACACTCACCAGATCTACACTACACAATCATACCCACAGTTTTTTTCATGCATATATATATATATATATATGTTATGAAAGATATATATAAATCGTGAACAAATTAAATTAACATTGAAAATTTTAATCTTTTACAACAAATTAAAAAGAAACAAAGAGAGACATCTTACAGAGAAATGTAAGAGTTACAGAAGAAGAGTTCATCAAAACCTAGGAGGAGAGAGTAATGGGGTTGATGATGATGATGAGAGTGCAATGAAGTTCAGAGTTGAATGAGAAAAAAATGCGAGATGGTCGCCTTGTAGTTTGTTAGATCTCTTGACTCTCTCTTTCTTTTCCTGGTTGGTTACTAAAAAACTTACGTGTTCTACGTCCCGATTTATATGTGTATCTCCAAATATCTCTCTCTATATGTATATACACCGAATGAATAATGTATAACTTAAGGTGATCGTGCCTAACATTTCTGTTAATAGTAAAGCTGCGCCTCATCTCGAGTTTGTTAATATGATTTAAACTATTTATTTTGTTGTGTTTTTAATCAAAGTTTTTTCACATAACCAACAAACCAGTTTGATTAGTCAAAATTTTTACATCTAATTCACCAACTTTCGTTGACAAAAGATAAAAATAAAAATTTCACTTGGCGTTTTTATTTGTACTTTTTCTAAGAGTTTTGTATTGATTATATGTTGACTTTAATATCAACTATGAATTAAATGAAATAAAAAAAAAACGGAAAGTAAAAAAACCAAATCATTAATGTAAACAAATAAGATTGGTTCAGACATCAATAGGATTTTATTTAATATATATATACCTTTATGTTTAGGTTAAATAAGATGATAGTTGCAGAACAATATTTTCAGTTACTTTTATTAGGAGCATGTATATGGGGATATGTAATGAATCAAGGTCACGTTTGTTTGGGGTTATAGGGAGGGAATTGAGATTACTAATATTTTGGTATTATTAATACCTTGTTTATTTTGAGAGATGGCCTTGGGACTACTAATACCTTGGTATTACTAATACCCTTGGAAGGGGGATTCATAGTGAAGAGGTAGAGATAGTATTAGAAAAATAATGAGAGGATTAGAAATTTTTTTATTTTTTATATATTGGGAATTTTTTTAAAAATATCAATGTTTAATTTTTATATTTTTTATTTGTTTTATTATTTTATATAAAAATAATTTAACAATTTCTCATTATCAATCCCCTCACTAACAATCCCCTCACTAACAATCCCTTCACTATCAATTCACTCCATTCTATCTCTTAAAACAAACAGGCCCAAGATACTCTCCTTAACTTCTCTCCTTGATTTTTTATTTGTTGGGTTATTGGGCTCACTTTTGGGTCCAATTTTAATAATTCGAACCGTTCACATTTTTAGATTTGTTAAATATATCATATCTGTAAAAATCAAGTCGATCAGATCAGAAATTACGTGTTCGGATCATCGAACTAAAAATCATTTTTAAAAAAAAATTAATAAAACAGTTTTCCGAACACATGCTTTCTGATATCCAATCAATTTGATTTTTTACAGGTATGATATACTTAACAAATTTTAAAATATAAGCGATTTAGGTCATTAAAATTGGGCCCAAAAATGGGCCCAATGGCCCAGCAAGAAGCAAGTTAATACAACATCCCAAGAATTACTGTTAGAGATGGCAATCGGAACCCGACCCGACAGGGACCCGATCCCCCGACCCCGAATTGAGTGGTTATTCCCCGAAAAATACCCCCGACGGGCCGGGGGTGGTATTAAAAATTAAGTCCCCGATGGTATTCGGGCCGGGGACGGGGATACATGTTTCAGTCCCGAACCCGGCCCGACCCCGGCCCTGATCCCCGATCCCCGATTGCCCCTCGATATAAAATTACTATTTTACCCCTCTATATATACATATAATATATGATGCCCGACCCCAGTTTTTGAACACAGTCTCATTCACACACAAACACAAATTTCTCTCATTCTCTCATTCTTTCATTTTCTTTCTCTCATTTCTTATCATCATCATCATCATCCAAAATAGATCTGAACAGATCCGTCAAATCGATCCTCCACCACCACCGCCATGGCTTCCTCTTCGACTCCCGAACGCCTCTGCCTCCCCAACACCGATCCTTCATCACCACCGCAGCAGATCCGCAACAGCAGCAAATCACTTCCTCTTCGACATCACTCATCGCCTCCTCCGTCGCAGATCTGCCGATCCTCCACTACCACCGTCCTCCACCGCAGATCTCGACAATTTTAGTTCTCCTTTTTTTTTTTGGTAAGTTGTTGTTGATGATGATGATAGATACATATATATATATATATATATATGTGTGTGTGTGTGTGTGTGTGTGTGTGTAATGAACAATTTCAGATCATTTTTTTTTTAAGTTGTTGATAATGATGATAGATACATATATATATATATATATATGTGTGTGTGTGTGTGTGTGTGTGTCCTCAGCGGCGGACCGGGGCCAAGTCCCCTGGAAAGGGGCGCCGGAGAGGGTGAGAGCCCCGTCGTGCCCGGACCCTGTCGCACCACGAGGCGCTGTCCGCGAGTCGGGTTGTTTGGCAAGTCTGGTGCCAGCAGCCGCGGTAATTCCAGCTCCAATAGCGTATATTTAAGTTGTTGCAGTTAAAAAGCTCGTAGTTGGATTTTGGGTTGGGTCGACCGGTCCGCCTCAGGTGTGCACCGGTCCTCTCGTCCCTTCTGCCGGCGATGCGCTCCTGGTCTTAATTGGCCAGCAACATTTATTTATTTACTCATAAAAATTATAATAAAATAAATTAAAAATAAAAAAATAATTAAAAAAATTACTATAATTACTAGTGCCTCATCTTATAATTGTTGGAATTTTTCTAGAATTTTTTGAGTATTTTTAGTAAGCCAGCCAAAGCCAGCAGCATGCCATGCCAATTAATTTGTTTTGTTTGTTTGTGATTTATTTTGTTGTTTTTTTATCAAATTTCATTGACAAAAACCAGAGTAAATTTTACTCTGGTTCCTATTGTTCTGTTTTTTTCATTGACAGAACAAGTAAAAATGGTTTTACTTTTAGTACAGAAAAATTTTCTTTGCTGTATAAAAGTAAATTTTACATATTAACTAAAGTAAATTTTACTTGTATATAAAGTAAAATTTTACTCTGAAAAACGAGTAAACTGTGAGACTTTGAAGCTAAAAGTAAAATTTTACTTTGTATAAAAGTAAAATTTACTCTGAAAAACTAGTAAAATGTTAGACTCTACACAAAAGTAAAATTTTACTCTGTATAAAAGTAAAATTTTTATTGGTTCTGTCAAATAAAAAACAGAACAATAGAACCAGAGTAAAATTTTACTCTGGTTTGTCAAATGAAATTTGATAAAAAAACAACAAAAATAAATCACAAACAAAAACAAAACAAATTAATCAACAAATCAACATATCTAATTGAGAAGAAAAACTTCTAAAACTCGATCAACAATCACAAATCTCAATAAAAAGAATACATATGTTCAACACATCAAACACACAAATATATATAATATATATATATATACATATATTCTTAAAATCTTGAATGAGGAATGTAACGGCTGCGAGATCTTCAGATTTGGAGATCGTCTTCATCGATTTGTGGAAGTATGATCGATTGGAGATCGTCTTCATCGTCTTCATTGGCTACGAGCTCAGATTTCAAATTTTCATACGTATGATACTATATATAAGGGCAATATTGTGATAAAAAAAAATAGAAATTATAAAATGTCCTTATTAAGGTAAGCATTTCTACTCAGGAATTTTTTTGAAAGAAATTAATTGGGTTATCCTTTACCCTAATAAAAAGGCCAAAAAGGGGTTCCACCAAAAATCCCTAAAATATTTTACTTTTTAGATGCATCTAAGTAAGATGCGTCAAAAAAAGTAAAAAAATTACTTTAAATTTTAAAAATATTCACTAAAATAAAAAAACATGAAAAAAAAAAAAATAATTTTCAGAAAATAAAACAAAATACACCTATTATTTTGTTATATTGGTGTTGAAAAATTGAATCATCTATTTATAAATTCATTCTTTTCATCAATTTTTTGTAGCAAATATAGTTATAATTGCAATATGACTTCATTTGGGAAATGGGTTGGCTTTTTGACTTTTTTGGCTATTTTAGCATGGGACAAAAAAGCTTGGTTTGGAAAGTGGGTTGGCTTTTTTAGTTTTTTTGTGAGCGAAATAATGTAATGATTATGAGTTGGATGCGATGTTTGTCTTATTGGACTAAAAAACTTATTTATTATTTTGTGGCTATTTTAGCCCCAAACCCACCCATACCATCTTCCCAAAACGAGCCTAGTGATGGTAGATGAAGTAATAAGAAAAAAAGTAAACCTAGATTGACGTAAGTTAGTGTAGTAAATAGAGAATGAATCTCCTT